TAAAAATTATTCGAGAGCCATAAATATATTTTTACAAATAAGGAAAATTTAAAATCCTTTAAAAATTTTATAAATGAAACTATGATAGTTTCATTTTCATTTTCAATTTTTCTTCAGAGCCACATGTACGTACCTAAAGAGCTGCATGTGGCTCGTGAGCCGCAGTTTGCCGACCCCTGGTCTAGGTCCTACCTAATTGGCCCAGTCACCTCCCTGACATCTACTCTTCTCATTGTTCACATTGGCCTCATTGCTGTTCTCCAAACCCAAGAGGCACGTGGTGCTCCCTCTGTCTTCTTGCAAAACCACCTTCTCAATGAGGCCTTCTCTAGGCCACTATCTAAAATTTAAGCTCATCCACCCCACCATTTTATATCGTCCTTCCCTTCTTTATTTTTTCTCCTTGGCATTAACTCACTATGTATTTTACCCATTTATTATCTGCCTCTCTCGCTGGAAAGGAAATTCCACAAGGGCAGAGATTTTTCTCTATTTTGTCCTAGTCTACATTACTAACACCTAAAACAGTGCTTGGTGTATAGTCAGCAGCCATAAATATTTGTTGAATGAGATTTAATGTATACTTGGATTAAAGAAGGCAGTGAAACCTTTATACAGAACACAAAATATAAAAGGAATTAAGTGTTTTAAGAATACAAAAATATCCTCCAAGGTATCTTTCATCAAATCCATCTTTGAGAGTCTGCTATTTGCTAGGCATTGCCCTCAATGATAGGGACAAAGCAATGGAACCTGACAGAGTTCCTGCTTGCTAGTGGGGGAGACCAACAGAAAACAATTACAGAAAGAAATGCTTAATTTTAATTGGTTATATGCTTGAAAGAGAAGTATGGGGTGATATAAGAGCATGTAATGGGGAGCTACCCTAATCTGGGATATCAAAGGCTTTCTTGAGGAAGTGAAATCTAAGACCTGAAGCCTGAGTTGGAGTTGGCTAAGTAAAGGAGGGTGGGGAGAAAGTTGTTAGGCAGAGCTAATAACATGCATGAAGACCCTGAGGAGGAATCAACAAAAATCACAAATGGGAGTTGAGAATTTAAGGCATGATACCTAATATAATGATCTTTCGATTGATGGCAGTTACATTAGGGTGCAGGTCAGACATTCTACATTTCTGTGAATTCCCATGCTACTTCATAGCAATCTCGGGTACACGAGTACATGGATTACATAATAATAGCTCCGTAAGATGTTTAACATTTTTCTTACGTTTAAAAAATAAATTTTCAAGAAACACTGCTTTAAGATTTCCTATGCTCAAATTTTACTGCCATGCAAATATACAGGTGCTTAGGGTCGAGGGCTGGGAGCTTCTTCTCACAAGAGTCACTGCTTCCCAGATTTAGTTGTGGACAGTGGGATGCAAACTGTGGCCCAGAGTTCAGGCAGCACTGAAGTTGCTAGCATTGATGCCAGAGGTGGGGGCTGTGGAGGTGATGGTACCCTAATGAGTAGACTGCTCCTTCCTTTAGACTTCCTTGCTGCAGTGGACTCCTGGTTCAAGGTCTTGCTGCCCAAGATATATCCATGGCTCTACCACAATGGGGGCAACATCATTAGCATTCAGGTACAAGTGGAAAGTTGACTGGGAAAGGGGAAGGAGGGGTCCTTAACCTTCTCCAACTCGTAGCTGAGCTCCTTTTCCTTTCCCCTGGCAGGTGGAGAATGAATATGGTAGCTACAGGGCCTGCGACGTCAGCTACATGAGGCACCTGGCTGGGCTCTTCCGTGCATTACTAGGAGACAGGATATTGCTCTTTACCACAGATGGGCCTGAAGGACTCAAATGTGGCTCCCTTGAGGGACTCTATACCACTGTAGACTTTGGCCCAGGTCTCCTGAGCAAGGGTTAGGAGTGGAGCCTGGGGAAAGGGCAACTCTTCTATGATGTTTATCTTTTCACCTTTGCCTCCTTTCCGCAGCTGACAACATGACCAAAATCTTTGCCCTGCAAAGGAAGTATGAACCCCACGGGCCATTGGTGAGGAGTCAGAAGGGAGGGCAGTAAGAGTCAGGGCTGGGAATGGGTCGAGCTCGGGTCCCATTTCGCCCATGGCTCCTTTCACTTCACATTCTAGGTAAACTCTGAGTACTACACAGGCTGGCTGGATTACTGGGGCCATAAGCACTCCACACGGTCCATTCCAGCTGTAACCAAACGACTAAAGGACATGCTGGAGTTGGGAGCCAGTGTGAACATGTAACTGGAGACATGGGGTCCCCCAACTGGGTGTTGGGGATGAAAGTTAAGATTCAGTGGGTCAGCTTGTACCTTTTCCCTCCATCTTCCCCCACTTCAGGTACATGTTCCATGGAGGTACCAACTTTGGATACTGGAATGGTGAGCCTCGATGGTCCCCGGCACTGAAGCAGGGATGTAGCAAGGAGTTCGACTCTAAGGGCTGGGTTGATTATGATGTCTAGCTAGATATGACCACCACTGCCCCCTCTGATGGCAAAATCCTCTGCATGAATTTCTTTGCTTAGTGTCTGTCATCTGAAAGATATATTCAACTAATTAAATTGGTTCTACTACAGGTGCTGATGAGAAGGGACACTTCCTTCCGATTACTACCAGCTATGACTACGATGCACCAATATCTGAAGCAGGGGACCCCACACCTAAGCTTTTTGCTCTTCGAAATGTCATCAGCCAGGTGCTCTACCACTTAATCAGGCGCCAAAGGTTTTTACTAATTGGGAGGAGTGCCTAAATTATTTGTAGCGGTATCCCAGAAATCAATGGTGGTTGTCTGGGCCAGAGAGCCCTCTGAGCACCGTGTGAAAGCATTCCCCACCTGTCCAAATGGGACTAGCTGGAGAGATACACACAAGTATGTGAAAATTACAGGACCCCTGAAGCCCTCCCCTGGACCCCAGGTTAAGAACCCTGTACTGAAACTAATTCTAAAAAATGTGTATTTCATAATAAAAAAAAATACAATTAAAAAAAAAAAAAAAAAAAAGAACCCTGTGCTAGGGTCTTGGAATAGGGGTTGTGTGGTTTTCCTATGGCTCCTGAGAGAATTTGGGCTCAGTTCCAGGAAATTCCCTTGGGACCTTTACCTCCCCCCAGCCCCAAGATGATGCTTGGACCTTTGACCCTGCACATGGTAAGCTCCTCCCCACCTCTTCTGATTCTACCCTGTTCTCTAAATAGCCCCCTGTTCTGTCCTGTCCTCTATTCTGAAACTTCCCTTTTATCCTGATACTGCCCCCTATTCTAATAGGATGGAAAATTGCTGGATTTCCTGTACTTCCTCTGCCCACAAGGACCCATCCGTTCAATCTTGCCAATGACTTTTGAGGCTGTCAAGCAGGTAGGGCATAATCCCCCATCTGGTGGGTAAGGCAGTCTTTCTCAACAGCTATAGCCAAAGATTCCCTAAGCTCCCCATCTCCCCCACAGAATCATTTTTTATCGCTCAGTTCATCTTAAGTACTCATTCTTCCACACCCAGGACCGTGGCTTTATGTTGTACCGGACCTATCTAACCCAAACTGTTTTTGAGCCAACACAATTCTGGGTGCCAAACAATGGAGTCCATGACCGTGCCTACGTGATGGTGGATGGGGTAAGAACCTAATTCCAGGTTACCTCATGAGCCCCCATTTCCTCTCCTCTTAAGCACCCTTTAGCCTTAAGTTTTCCATATCTACGTTTTTCCATTGCCTGTCCACATTTGCAGGGGGTCCAAGGGATAAGCTGGGATAAGGAAGAGTTTGACTAATAAGGGTAAGGTTCTAGAACAGATGGGTAACTGACGATGGGCTACATTCTCTTTGCCCTTCAAATAAGTGTCCTAATGTGGCTTCCTGTTTGGTGGCCAGGAGCTAGACGCTGAGCCCTTCCTCTCATAGGTCTTCTTATTCACAGGTGTTTCAGGGTGTTTTGGAACGAAACATGAAACAAAAGCTATTTTTGACGGGGAAAGTGGGGGCCAAACTGGATATCTTGCTGGAGAACATGGGGAGGCTCAGTTTCGGATCTAACCACAGTGACTTCAAGGTGAGCTAGCTTTGCCTGCCCTTTGCCCCCAAACTCTCTTGGAAAGAGAGGGGCTCGATGGAAGATAAGCAAGAGCCATGCCCTTAGGTGTGAGGCAGCAAAGTGGCGGCTTGTGGAGACCTGGGCGGTGCCACTAGCTGCAGCTTAGGACTTGATTGGGGACAGTTTGGCCTTAGAGCTTATTGAATGAATTTTCATTTGCGTTTTTCACAGGGCCTATTAGAGCCACCAATTCTGGGACAAACAGTCCTTACTCAGTGGCTGATATTCCCTCTGAAAGTTGACAAGCTTGTGAAGTGGTGGTTTCTCCTCCAAATGCAAAGAAGTTCACGTCCTCAAACTCCTTCTGGCCCCACCTTCTACTCCACAACGTTTCCAATTTTAGACTCAGGCGGGGACACGTTTCTCTTTCTACATGGATGGACCAAGGTACTGTTGACGGTGGTGGTTGGGGTGGGAATGAGGGGTGATGAGAGGAAAATCATGGAAGAAGGGGAAACAAGTTATTCCTCTGATTAGAAACCCAAAGGGGGATGAGTCCACCGCTCTGAGAGCTGAGCATTCATTTTCCTCTCTCCTCCCTCCTCCCCAGGGCCAAGTCTGGATCAATGGGTTTAACTTGGGCCGGTACTGGACAAAGCGGGGGCCACAACAGACCCTCTACGTACCAAGGCCCCTGCTGTTTACTAGGGGAGCTCTCAACCAAATCACATTGCTGGAGCTAGAAAATGTGCCTCCCCACCCCCAAATCCAATTTCTGGATAGTCCTATCCTCAATAGCACCTTACATGAGACAAACATCTATTCCCTCTCAGCTGACACACAAAGTGCCTCTGAACCAATGGAGTTAAGTGGGCACTGAAAGAAAGGTAACCCTTGGACCTGGGACACTGGAGTGGGCAGGATCCCTTGGTGCTGGCCACGGTGACCATAAGGAACCAAGGCCACAAGGCTTCAATGTAAGTACAAGTGCAGTTTCCTTGCCAAACTTTATTGTGATTAAAGTTCCAGAGACAGTACCAGCTCCACACACATCTGTGGCCCTCTCTTTGCCCTGGTTCCTCAGTGTCCCTCACCCTAATCTTCCAAATACTCTGGTTTCGTGGGGAAGAAGAAACCTAGGGCCAGTGTGAATGTGCACTCTTAGGGCGGAGAGTTGGCTCCAGGTAGAGGTGTAAGAGATCAGGAAGAGGGCTTCCCGGCCCGACAGCGATGATCTTGGAGGCAGCGTGTGGAGCAGAAAGAGAAGTCAAAGTAGTGAAAGGGAGTGAGGCCTTGAAGGGATGTCCCACAAGTCCAGCAGCGTCTGAACAAGAGAAGAGAAATGGATGGACAGGTACCCAGAAACTTTCCAATCCAAGTCCTCCCCACCCCCCCGCCTATCATTTCTATTTTCATTCCAAAGGTTCACAGACCTTCTCAGATCCCCTCAACAGCCTTTCTGTGTAAGCACCCTTTCTACTTGCCCAGACATCACGGTCTACCCATTACTTCTGCCCCCTCTACGTACGGAGCATTGACGACTGCAGAGTCAGGAATCTGAGGGTTAGGGGCTCCCAGCTGGGCAGCGAGTCGGCGCTCTGCAGCCACAGCTCTCTGAAGGGAAAGGAGGATCTGTTAAGGACAAGGCCCCAGTGGTGGGGAGGGTGCCCAAGAAGTGACAGTTGCACACTGGGAAGGGATCAGACCTCTAAGGAAGCCTCGCTGTGGAAGGGTGACCTCCAGCCTTACCTTCTCTCTGTCGCTGAGGGTGGCAAATCGCCGCTGCTCTTCTTGCTCCCTCTTCTCCTGCTCCCACTGCATCCGCTGCTGTTCCTCCCGTTGTCGCCGGGCTGCCTTCTGCTCCTTTTTCCGCGTAGTCTGCCGCGCCTCCATTTCTTGTGTCAGTGGTCCTGGCACCTAGAGGATTTCCGGGAAGGTAAGACCTATATAAACTATCCTTGGTAAAACTGTAAGAAGGTAGAAGGGATCTATGGTGCCATCCCACTCTGCTGCTGCTTCCTTTCTCAGCTCACCTGAGCCTTGCTGTAATCATAAGCATCTGGATTCTTCCCCATGAACCTTCGGAACTCATTACGTGTTGATTTGTCAGCTGCAACAGTATATGGTGGCCGGCTCTGGGAGTCCCTAAGTGTGAAAACCCCCCCCCCAAAATGGGTTCAATTTGCCTCCTGCATCTCCTAACGCCACCTAACCAGACCAAGGGGGATACTGTCAAGTAGCCAATGCCAACATTAACCTTAAGGTCATCCTCTCTATACCCTAAAGGGCCCGGCATGAGACCCTTACTTACTGGATGGTGGGGTCAGCACCTGCCTCCAGTAGCAGGCGAACCACTGAGCCTCTGCCAGCTGCGGCTGCCGCATGCAGGAGGGTGAAGCCACGGGAGCCCAAGGGGGCACTGAGCAGAGAAAGAACTTCTGGGTCTATGGGGCTGGCAGCTAGCTGGAGTTTCAGCATCCCAACGTCTCCAGCGCGGCAAGCAGCAAGAAGCACATCCCAGAGCTCTGACTGCCCAGGGGCCTTGGACTCATCCAGGGAAGGCTCCGAAGGGGCTGCATGAGCCTGGGCTGACCGTGAGAAGGCCTCTTCTTGAAGTTGCTGGGGAAGAGTCGTATGTGCCCCAGCCTCCAGGTCTTGGCTTTTCTCCTTCTTATTCCTTTTTCTTCTCCTCCGCTTGGGCAATACCTCAAACTCACGAAGATCCAGCGTCCCCACTGTCGATTCTACTAGCTCCAACTCTACCTGGAAGTCATCCTCTCCCTCTGACCCTGAACCTAGGGGAAAACATGACATGTTAGATCCATCTGAAGAATAAGCAGAGGGTGGAAGGATGTGGGCTGCCCCAGATGCCTAAGAATGTAGATAAAGAGATAATCCAGATCATCCTGAAAAGAAATTAAGTATTTGTATTTTGCCACCCAAGATAAAGTAACAAGCATATCAGAGAGCTGAATCCATTAGTATCACATGGAGAAATGAGGCTCTCAGCCCAGACAAGGACAGGCCCAGGAGGACCTACGCAGGGACAAGAGTCTCTGGACTCTCCCATGAGCTGCCTTCAGATGGTGCACAGCAGAGGAAAGCATGGGAGCAGTGACAGCTATGCAGGCCAAGAGTCTGCAGCCAGAGAAGTGCCCTTAGCATCCAATACAACAGGTAAATCCTGTGAGATTCATGCAACACATATTCAAGCATCTACTTCATGCTAAGACCTTTCTGAGTACTTGGGATATATCAGTGAATAAAAGTGGTAACAGGAGACTTGCAAAGGTGACCAAACATGTCTCAGTAATTGCTACCACACATCCCATATTATAAACAGATCTGTGTGTGTGTGTAAAGGTGTTTGTGTTGTATAAAGGCTCATCTATAAATAGGGGAGTCAGAGTAAGGGATGTGCCACTGCATTTCCAGGACAGACACCCAGAGATTTGACAGTTGACAGATGGTGCTCAAACCCTGTTTGGGAGAGTCTTCATTCTGTCCCAGTGTCTCACGTTCATCACCGGGGACTTTTCTTTCTTCCTCCATAGCCGCCTTTCTCTCTTTGATTATCTTCCAGTGTGTCTGAGGTGAATCCAACCTGACTGTCTCCCGGGGATCTTCTCCTGCCATAAAACAAAAGGTGTTGCTCAAGTTTAGCAGAGGCGAAGCCAGCCTAGGTTTTTGTTCTATGAAGATGTGATTGGGCTGTATTCCAAAGGCTAGAAAATCATCTGGATGCACAAATAAGCCCGGGGCTTGGGATGGAAGGTACAGGAAGGTCTAGGGAGTCGGGATCAGAGTCAAAGGCTCACCATGGACATGTAAGGTGGTCAGCTTGTGGAGCACACGCTGTAACTCTCTGAAGGTGGGTCTGCGGGTAGTGAGGGGGATATCCCAAATTCGGGGATCTCCCCGTTGCAGGGGTGCCCCTTGGCCTCCGAAGAACAAGGACCGGCCAGAGTGGGGGGCACGCAGCAGTATTGTCCCAGCCTCCCCCAGCGCCTTAGCCCATCCTGGCCCTGCCAGCAGGTCACGAACATCCTAGAGAAGAGAGTAACTCAGCCCTTCACTTGTTATTTTTAAATCTCCAACCAAAAAATGGCCCACATGTATAGGGAGTGAGAGGTAGAAGTGAACACAGATGGAGGAAGAAGAAAACTAAGATTCCTGGGGATCCATCCCATTCTACCTTTGTCTACTGAGAAACAGTAAAGAGTGGAAGGATACAGGAATTCACCTCCTTACCGTAACATTTAATGAGTTGAGGGAAAAACGTGCATTAATGGCCCACCAGGTCTGGGATGCCGAACTCACCTTATATAGTGTGGCTTCATTGTAGCGCCTCAGGTTGGCTCCAGCAGAACGTGAAGCCCCACCTCGGGCATCACGAAGTCCCTGGGCTGTGCCATGCTTGGCCCGTACTGTGTAGCGGTGAAAGGTTTTATGTGTCACCACTTCTCTTCTGTAGACAACACAGACTCAGTACTGGAAACCTGGTACTGCCAGGTGAACAGGCTCCATCCCATCCTTACCCCATGCAGCACCCTCTCACCCTTGGAAAATGGCACCAGCAAAGTGTCCAGCTGCAGCCATGAGCACCACGCAGTGTCTAGGACCTCCACTTCGCAGGTTTTGGAGCAGCAGTTCTGGTTCTCCTGGGGACACCTGGACAACAGAGAAGCAGCACAGACATATCTGTTACATTCATTGAGAGTAAGAAACTAATTGCTAGTGTTAAGTGTTTTGCATGCATTATCTCATTTAATACAACCACCCTGAGGCTTGTCTCTATTTTACAAGTAAGGAAATGTGAGGCTTGTAGAGGTAGTCAAGATTAAGTGGTACAACCATAATCCAAACCTAGATCAGTCTGTTTCCAAACTTAATTCCATTAAACTTGACCCTTTTGAGATTCAGCCTAGTTCAATCTAAGTCTGTGCTGTCAAGCATGATACCCAAACCGAACAGGAAGGAAGGGAAGAAGTGAGGAACAGACTAGGCTAAGGGGAAATCTAAGCTGAATGTACACACAACTAGTGAAGTCACTTGCCTGGTGAGGGCCTAGGACACAGCGATAGGCATAAAGAAACTGGCCCTGGGCATTTTGGAAAAGAACCCGATGGGAGCGGAGGCCTAGGGGTCGGTTAGGCTTCTCAAACTCAGCCTTTTCCTCATCCAGTATCTCCAAGTCCTCCTCACTGGCTGAGTTTGAGTCTTCTGATCCTGAGATGCTGGAAAGGTCTCCTAAGAACAACATGAGATACACAAGTTTGGTGGCCCATCTTTGACCTTCCCTCAAGCTCCCAAAGTAAGGCCTTCCTTCATTCACCCCCATGTCCTACTTCCACACAGGTTTCCCACCAATCATCATCACCTGTGGAGCTCTGCTTTTCAAAGTCCAGGGCAGAAAGGAAAGGCTTGTTCTTTAGACGTTGCTTTAGGTTAAACCGATGCCAGTCAAGCTTATAATGTTCCCGCTGGTAGGAGGCAATGAGGGAGACAGAATGTGGAAATATGTCCCAGCCCAGCAATGGTACCCAAAACCAGTAACAGAACTCCAGCAAGTATGACCGGGTAATACCAACTGCCTTAGTCAAAAAATGGACCTTTATTAATTAAAGACAAATCAGACGTCTACCTCTCATCACCCACCATTATACTTTTGCTTCCACCATTTAGTTCTGCACCTGGCCTTTTACCTGTTCCTGGTGGTTCTGGAAGGTCTGGTCACAGGTTGAACAAAATAACTTCCCTGAAATATCCAGAGGACCCTGGAGTGGTTTTCTTTCTGGGCTTGCTCTCTTCCCTGACCCTAAATAAGGGGAGGGTAATTAGAGGTGGAAAGAAGCCCAATCCACCGCACCTGGAATTATATCCAGTGTTTGATATACAAAATAGAGGAAAATACAAAAGAAAGAGATATACTTGCGTTCAAGGAATTTACAGTCTAGTAGTAACTATGAAGTAAATGGCATGGTAATCAAGTTATACAATAAATATGCTTTTGAAAAGACATGTAAAACGACTGTAAGTCAAACACTGTATTTAAACTTATCAAGGGAATTTAGAGGAATCTTGCAAAAAATATATTTTGGTAAGGTTAAAATTATTTTTAACTGTGCAAAAACCACTTCCCAAATGCCAGTCTTTTTAGCTTACATTTCCAACTCCAGTGTGCAGTTTGTTTTTAAAAGGTTCAAGGAAAACAGCCAGAGATAAACTAAAGTTGTACAAAACCAAATAATAAATTGTTTTATATTCAGCAACAAGGAATGATTTGATTGGAATCTAGTTAAATCTGGACTATATCTAGGAATTTTGAAAAAAATACCTAGGGATTTTCAAGTGTTTTTGCAGGTAGTGGTGTTAATGTGAGGAGACATAAGCAAAGGCAAGAAACTTGTTTGGAGGCAATTCAGGGGCCTGTGCTATAAACAATCCAGCGACTGAGTGAATTTAGGATAAATTTTATCCCGTGGAAAGATGTCATCAATGGCTCCTAAGCTGGGGAATGCCAATAAGACTGTGTTCTCTGTGGAGCCATAAACTCCAAAAGCCCTGTCATATTCCTCGGGAGTCCATCCCAAATCTTCCCGGATACCTGGACAGGAAGTCCGCAGAGCTTGGGCCTGAGTTTCTCCGGAAAGGTGGCTCACCAGGCTTAGGCCCGCAAGGACCGGAGCATCCGCGTGAAGCTCAAACAAGGAGACTGACGCAGGAGCCTGGGCTGCAGCTGGAGCCGGCGACATTGCTAAGCAGAAAGGGAGGAAGAAAAAGAGCCCCCCCACCCACACGAGATCCGACTGCTGCGTCTTCTGCCTGACTTGGTCTGCCGGCGCCGCAAGGAGCCTTACTTACCCTGGGACCAGGGTTAATACGTGACCCCAGCCTGTTTTCTCAAATCCCCAGTCTCGGACCACAGCAAGAGTGAAATGAGGGATCAGCCATCTCTCAAATCGAGTCCAACACAGTTAAAATCACTGAGGTTCCCTAACCAGCCGCTCTTCGTTAACGCGTGCGATGAGCTCCAGCAATGACTAAACGGTGTGGACTCCTCCCCGCCTTCAGAAGCTGCACCACATGTCCATCAGAGCTGAGCCGCAAGTCAGTCCACAGTTCCAAGCCCGGATTTCTGGAACACCACAACAATTTCGTCACTACGGAGCATCTAAAAGGACAAACTTAGCTGCCCGTACCTGAGCCCCGCCCCACATAGAGTGTCCTATTGGTCCTCTGACGGCTCGAGGCCCGCCTCGAGCCTTTAGTCCCGCCTCCGAATTGGTCACTGTGTCTCCACCCCCCGTGATTATTGGTCAGGCTGGCTGCGGGTGACAGTGAGTGGCAGACACCGGGCCTAGCCCTCTGGGTCTGGCCTAGCCCTACTGAGCCCTCGTAGCCCCTGGAATCACCCAGATCACGGTTCATGAGGTGAAACGCGAGGCCGGTTACTGGTATCTCAGGGCCCGGTCAGGGCCTGACCAAGGGTTCCTGCGGAGCCCTAAGTGAACTCGCGGCGGGTAACGGGGAAGGGGCGCCGCGGGCGGGGCGGATGCGCGCAGCCGAAATGTTTTGATAGCGGGGACGCGCGTGCGCGCGCGGACAGCGGGGACGCGCGCGAGGTTGTCCGCTGTTGGGAGCCGAGCCCTTGGCCTGGGGCTGGCGACCCTGGGGGGCGCTGGGCTCGTGTCGTAGCTGCTGAGTGTGGGGAGGCAACCCAGCCCACTTGGGGTATCTGCTGTCGGACTGGCTCCATTCTTCCAACATCCGGAGGCACTCCTGAGCCCAGGCCCGGCTGGCTGGGGCATCATGGGCCCTGGGTCCACTGTGACCCAGTGAGTAAGTGGTGAGTTCCTTGAGGGCTTGGAGTCCTTTGGACCCAGGGCTCACACAAACCCAGGGAATCCTATTGGGCCCAGGCTGGGCTGGGCTCCTCGGCCCCAGGGTCTACACTGACTGGGTGAGTGTCACCTGGACCATGCCTGGCTCCAAGGACCTAGGGAACACAAGAGTTAGCCCAGGATCTGGGTCTACACTGACCCAGTCAGTACTTCCCATCCAGGAGCTATCTATGCTGCCTGCTAGGCCTCCAGTGCTAGAGAAGCAGAGGAAGCGGTTAACCAGAAAGGTTGTCTTCGGTAAAGGTTCTCTTCTTAGGTTTTGGGTTTGGGGATTTGTGGACCCTGAGCAGCCTAATTTATGAGGCTGAGGTACAGCAATGGAGAGACCGTCCAGAGGGGCCTCCTGACCTCAGGCCTGTACTGACTCAGTCTTCAGAGCTTCAGTAAGCCACTTCTTGGGCTCCTCCAGCTGAATGAGTGGCCCTGGATAGTGCTACCAGAGGAGGTGCCCACAGCCCCGGGCTGGAAGGGGGCCTCTTCCCACTGCTGCCTCCTTGTCCCATGCTTGGCCTCTTCTTACTGGGGGTTGGAGTGGAGGGAGGGGGGGCTGGGTTTCCTTCTATCCCCACTCCCCCCTCTCTCGGGCCTGAAACCTTCTCCTCCAGCAGCTGCAGAGCCAGAGCATCGAGGACTGGAGTGGAGCAGACACTGTCCATGGAGCTGGTAAGGCCATGTGCTTATTTCAAACCTTTGTTTACAAAGTGCTTCCAAACTGTTTGTCTCTTAGGAAACCAGGCTTTCTCCAGGAGGACAGGGGGAGGGCCCCTCCTTTCCACTGAATAGAAAATGAAACAGCTCCCCCGAAGGGGCGGAGTCTGGCTTCAGGCCTGCAAGGCCTCAGTAGACACTGAGTAACGGCTCTCTCGGAAGACTGACCTTATTGGTCAGTTAAGGTCTCCCAAGTCCTGAGCTTGCTGCTCTCCTTTCATTACTACTCCTCCTCTGCCTTTGAGCCAAGAAGACTGGTAGTAGAGACCAAACCCAAGAATTCTTTTTCACTCCTGGTCTAGCAGGCAAGGCGGTAGACAAGCAGCACCGCGGGCTGATCCTTGGTCTCTTCTTCCTCTTACTGGCAGGTGGATAACGTGGACAGGGGGTGGTGGTGATGGCGCAGTTTGACACTGAATACCAGCGCCTAGAGGCCTCCTACAGCGATTCACCCCCAGGGGAAGAGGACCTGTTGGTGCATGTTCCTGAGGGGAGCAAGTGTGAGTTCTTAGCCGTGACAGCCAGAGTTGGGGTGCGGGGGAGAGTTGGTGGAGGAACATTGAGGGAGCAAGGGGCTTATTTTCCTTCAGGGCTCTGACATCTCTGCTCCTGTGCCCCACAGCACCTTGGCACCACATCGAAAACCTTGACCTCTTCTTCTCTCGAATATCCTTTGTGCCTCCATGTTGGAGCTATGAGACTTTTAGCCCCTTTCTAAGCTAGGCTCCTCATAGGAAGTTGGGGTGGGTTTATCCCTCGAGGGGGATGGAACTCTTCCTGAGGCTGAAAGAGGCTGGGAAATAATGATCGTTATAGATAACAATACCCCACATTTACCAAGAGCTGTGTGTTTCCACTTTGTGGTATTAATTTATAAGGAACCTCTCTAAGGGTGATCCTCCTTTTTGATGAGATGCTAATAACCATAATAATTAATGTCTTTTGACTCATTCTCTGTCAGCTCTGTTAAATACTTTACGTACATTGTCTTAGACCTAATAATCCTATGAGACAGATGCTATTATTCCCAATATAACACTGCAGACAAAAGCTTAGAGAGGTTAAGTAACTTGGCCAGAGACACACGGCTAGAAAGTCAGGTATGTGACACCCAATGCTCTTAATTGCTCTCTCTACCAACCACTTTTTCTTAAGAATTACACGTTTATAATCTACACCAGAAGAATGGCTTCACTTGTATGCTCATCGGGGAGATCTTTGAGCTCATGTAAGTATAAAAAGGGATGGATAATTTGGCGAAGGAATACATCTCAGTCTTTCCTCTCCTTGAGCCCCGCCCTGGCCCTACTTGCTAATGCAACTCAGTCCTGGGCTCAAAATTCTACAAACCTTTGTAGTTCTGGGACTGGGTATGGCACCAAAATTTACAGGCTTCATCTTTTGTATCTCTTGTATAAGTAAAGCTGTCCAAGTCCTGTCTTTGCCACAACGAGAACTCAGACTTGATTATTTCATTAGTGGTCCAGTGGAATGGGCATAGTTCAGTCAGAGATGCCAGCCACTTACTTGAGAAAAGTGTCTCTGTTCTGCCTTGGTTGCACCTTACGCCTGCTGCTGGGCAGAGCGCCTCCTAAGAGGAAGGAGACAGAGGGCCTTGCCAAGGGGGTGGGGGTTGGGAAACCCTCCCTCAATAAGAAAAAGAGTTCAAACCCCCCAAAGGGCTTCTAACTATCATCTCAAAAGGAAATCGGGGACCGGGGACCAGAGACAGCCATCGTAACACTTTTGAAGGAGTCCAGCCATGGCAGAAATTACTATGAGGCAGGGAAAGCAGGCTGATTCTGTGGGGTCTGAGGCTAAGATAAAAAAAATAGGACCACGTTTGTGCCCAAGACAGTCCCCTGGGACTGAGCAATAGAGAGAGCCCACTGGAAGTTCTCCAGCCCCTCCATTTCCCAGAGGCTGCTCCCTGACCGTGTTCTGCTGCTTCCAGACCCCTCTGTTTCCCATGTTATTTCACTGGTGCCTCTGACTCTCAGACTGTGCCCCCTCTTCCCACCTCGCCAGGCAGTTCCTCTTTGTGGTTGCCTTTACCACCTTCCTGGTCAGCTGTGTGGACTACGACATCCTATTTGCCAATAAGATGGTGAACCACAGTCTTCACCCTACCGAGCCTGTCAAGGTGACTCTGCCAGATGCCTTTTTGCCTGCCCAAGTCTGTAGTGCCAGGTAAGGGCTGCAGGTCAGAGGGCACCAGAGCCTATGGTTCTGCTAGCAGGTGGGGAATGGAGTGTGAGGCACATTCCCTAGAACACAGACTCAGGTTCAGCCTCGCCACATCCTTCATGAGAGCAGCATGTCTGCCAAGACTCCTTAAGGGCACTCCTCTACCCCTTCTTTTTTCCCTACCAGAATTCAAGAAAATGGCTCCCTTATCACTATCCTGGTCATCGCTGGTGTCTTCTGGGTCCACCGGCTTATCAAGTTCATCTATAACATTTGCTGCTACTGGGAGATCCACTCCTTCTACCTGCATGCTCTGCGTATCCCCATGGTGAGACTGGAAATTTGGGCCTTTAGCACCACAGCCCAAAATATCTAATAAGCTTGGGGAGGTTGGGGTGTATTCCTGGGCGTCAGGCATTCTCAACCATCATTGGCAGGTCAGGGAGCATCTGTTGAAGGGCTCCATTCAGCTAAGCACAGGGCCCGAGCCTCACAGCTAATGCAGGGCAAGGGGGCAAGGTAACAATCCCACCTTCCATACCTTGTCTCTTCCCTACCCTGCAGTCTGCCCTTCCATACTGCACGTGGCAGGAAGTGCAGGCTCGGATTGTGCAGACCCAAAAAGAGCACCAGATCTGCATCCACAAGCGCGAGTTGACAGAGCTGGACATCTACCACCGCATCCTGCGTTTCCAGAACTACATGGTGGCACTGGTTAACAAATCCCTCCTGCCCCTGCGCTTCCGCCTGCCAGGCCTTGGGGAGGCCGTCTTCTTCACCCGAGGCCTCAAGTACAACTTTGAGCTGATCCTCTTCTGGGGACCTGGCTCTCTGTTTCTCAATGAATGGAGCCTCAAGGCTGAGTACAAACGTGGGGGGCAACGGCTGGAGCTGGCCCAGCGCCTCAGCAACCGTATCCTGTGGATTGGCATTGCCAATTTCCTGCTGTGCCCTCTCATCCTCATCTGGCAGATCCTCTATGCTTTCTTCAGCTATGCTGAGGTGCTGAAGCGGGAGCCGGGGGCTCTGGGAGCGCGTTGCTGGTCACTCTATGGCCGCTGCTATCTCCGCCACTTCAACGAGCTGGAGCACGAGCTGCAGTCCCGCCTCAGTCGCGGCTACAAGCCTGCCTCCAAGTACATGAATTGCTTCTTGTCACCTCTGCTGACGCTGCTGGCCAAGAATGGCGCCTTTTTTGCTGGCTCCATCCTGGCTGTGCTTATTGCCCTCACCATCTACGACGAAGATGTGTTGGCTGTGGAACACGTCCTCACCACCGTCACACTCCTGGGGGTCACCGTGACTGTGTGCAGGTGGGCAGGGCAGCAGGCGGGAGCAAGCAGACTAGCGTTCCCAGGAAAGGCTGACAGCTCACCATGGCTATGATCCCACAGGTCCTTTATCCCGGACCAGCACATGGTGTTCTGCCCTGAGCAGCTGCTCCGCGTGATCCTCGCCCATATCCACTACATGCCTGACCACTGGCAGGGTAATGCCCACCGCTCGCAGACCCGGGACGAGTTTGCCCAGCTCTTCCAGTACAAGGCAGTGAGTGGAGTTGGAGTTAGGGCCTGCTAGAAACTGGCTGATAGCTTGGAGGGGAGGATTGGGATCCCTCCTGCTCTCTTGTGACCTTGGTTCCCTCCCTTTTAGGTGTTCATCTTGGAGGAGTTACTGAGCCCCATTGTCACACCTCTCATCCTCATCTTCTGCCTGCGTCCACGGGCCCTGGAGATTATAGATTTCTTCCGCAATTTCACCGTGGAGGTCGTAGGTGTTGGAGATACCTGCTCCTTTGCCCAGATGGATGTTCGCCAGCATGGGCATCCCCAGGTACTGGGTGAGGATGGGGGCAGGTGGCCAGAGGCGGTGCTGGCACATAACATGTCTTTGGACAAACTGTGTAAAGGCACCCCTTCTGAGTCAACAAGTCACAAATAGGCAGCCCTGCCTGTGGCCAGCCCTGTACCGGGGCATACACTGCTTGATAAACAGGAGCCTGGACTGGATTTTAGCCCTCAATTTGCACCCTTGGCCAAGCTCCCTTGAGAAAGGCACAAGCCAAGCAATTAGTCCAGCATGTGGCCACTCCTAGGGTTGGCAATGGGCCGCTGGACAAGATACAGCAGTGCGTTGCAGCCTCTGTTCTCCAGGGACAAAGCCTCCCCCCTGGGCAAGAAAGGTATAAAAGGGATTCCTGTAAGAGGACAGTCCTGCTCACTGCAGCTTCCTTTGTGCAGTGGCTCTCTGCTGGGCAGACCGAGGCCTCTGTGTACCAGCAAGCCGAGGACGGGAAGACAGAGCTGTCACTCATGCACTTTGCCATCACCAACCCTGGCTGGCAGCCACCACGTGAGAGCACAGCCTTCCTGGGCTTCCTCAAGGAGCAGGTTCAGCGAGACGGAGGAGCTGCTGGCCTTGCCCAAGGGGGTCTGCTCCCTGAAAATGCTCTCTTTACGTCCATCCAGTCCTTACAATCTGAGTCTGAGGTGTGTTCCTGGGGACTGGGAAATGATGGGCAGAGTGGACTCCAGGACCTGGAGTTGGGGACTTGGCATAGGGTGGAAGGGCCTACCCTATGGTTTTCCTTCTATCTGTTCAGTCTGTGCCATTGGGTCCTGACATGCAGAATACTGGAGCCCCCAGAGGCCTCCCTCCTGCCCTGAGAGTTCTACTCCTTTCTTTCATAGCCACTGAGCCTTATTGCAAATGTGGTAGCTGGCTCATCCTGCCGGGGCCCCCCACTGCCTAGAGACCTGCAGGGCTCCAGGCACAGGGCTGAAGTGGCCTCTGCTCTGCGTTCCTTCTCCCCTCTGCAACCTGGTCAGGTTCCCACGGGCCGGGCTCCCAGTACCATGACAGGCTCTGGGTGAGTAGAGGTGGGCCAAGATGGGAGGGCATGGCAGTAGTGCCCAGCAACTTGTGTGGGTCTCAGAAATGTTGATGACTGCTATCTGTCTGTGCTGGGGGAGACAGGATGGATGCCAGGACAGCCAGCTCTGGGAGCAGCGTGTGGGAAGGACAGCTGCAGAGCTTAGTGCTGTCGGAATACGCATCCACCGAAATGAGCCTGCACGCCCTCTACATGCACCAGGTGAGTGGGCAGTAAGGGGCAGGGCCATAGAACCAAGGTGGCAGTTGAAAAATAGAATAGAGGGTTTTAGACATGGAGAAGCAAGACCTAGGTTCAAATCCATGCTCTGCCATTTACTTGCTCTGCAATCTCCATTCCCACATACACCTTCTTACTTTCTTTTTAGCCAAGCTTGTTCTCATCCAGGGCTTTTACACACTTGTGGTTTCCCCTGCCAAGAATCTCCTTCCCTGAGATATCCGTATGGCTCCCTCCTTCTCCTTATTCAGGTTTCTGCTCTTACCTTTTCCATGAGACCGCGACTGGCCACCTGGAGTAAAAGCCTCCCTTGCCCACCCTCCTGAATCTCCCTGCTTCATTTTTCTCCATAGCATTTAGCACCACCTGACACACTGTATTTCTTCTTATGTATTTGTTTACTGCCCTAGCCTCTTCCACCCTCCCTTCTCAGTATATAAGCCTCACAAGGGCTGGGATTTTTGTCTGTTTTGTTCACTGCTATATCCCAATCACATAAAAGTGCTTGGCACTTAGATCTGTAGGTTGTTCTTGAATCAAAAGACTACATACAATGAGTGCCCTTAACAACCTATGCACAGGCTTCTTCCAAGGGTCTACTGAGAAATTAACCTGTAAAACATCATATGTATGTTTTGTACACACTATTAACATAATAGGTATTCTGGGTCAGTGATTCTAGGTGAGGTGGTATAAATGGGAACTGGCTGAGACCACAGTGGGGAGCTGCTGTTTCAGACAAGATATCCTTCTGTTCTCAACTAATGGGCCCCCCACTTCTCAGCTTCACAAGCAGCAGGCCCAGGCCGAACCTGAGCGGCATGTGTGGCACCGCCGGGAGAGTGATGAGAGTGGGGAGAGTGCCCCTGAAGAGGGGGGAGAGGGCGCCCGGGCCCCCCAACCTATCCCCCGCTCTGCCAGCTATCCTTGTGCTGCACCCCGGCCTGGAGCACCTGAGACCGCTGCCCTGCAGGGGGGCTTCCAGAAGCGCTACGGAGGCATCACAGGTATCCAGTGGGCGTACGGGAGAACACAGCCTTCAGGGAAGGGTGGTTCTTTTGGGGCATTGTGGGGAAGAAAGAGATCAGAGGGACCAGGCCCAGGAGACTAACCCTTCCCCACCCCAACCTTGGACAGCCCCAGAACCTTCTTCTCATTCCTGTTTGTATTCATTCTAAGAGTATGTTTACTTGTGTCTCAGATCCTGGAACAGTACCCCGGGCTCCCTCTCACTTCTCTCGGCTGCCCCTTGGAGGTTGGGCTGAAGATGGACAGTCAGCATCAAGGCACCCAGAGCCCGTGCCCGAGGAGGGCTCGGAAGATGAGCTTCCCCCTCAGGTGCACAAGGTAAGGGCTCTACGACCCAAGAACAACTGCCAGAAGTAGTAATTTCTAGGCTGAGGTCAAACCTTTTCATGTGAAGGAAGGTGGACCCCTCTTATGCAGATACTGTGTCCCCTTTCTTCCCTCACCTCTGAAATCCAGGGCTTGTTTTTTCCTTTGCTTACCTCCCCAAGCATCAAGCCTTCCATTTCCTTTATCTCCAGGCTTCTATTGGGTGAGCAGATAGCTGAAGACTGTCTCTATTACCAACCTTTTCTCTCCACAGGTATAGACAAGGCTGAGGAGGGACCTTATGCCCCAGGATGGAGGCCACTGTTGCCCTGCCATCCCATCCGCCCGCCATGGAGGGCTTCTCTGAGTGTTGCCTGGCTCCACGCGTGTGGTTTTTGTGTGTCCGTGCCTGGCCGAGGGAGGTGCCAATACTGGGCTTGCCACAGCTCCAGGAGAGAAATTGGGGGCCTAGGAACCAGGGCATGCAGGACTCTAGCCTCATCCCCAGGAACCTCCTTGGCTCAGAGTGTGGTGCTAGAAACTGGTCCCCAGCCCAGCCCCAGTACTGCCACCTTTGCACCTATCCCTGCAAGTCTCCAGAGGACTGCCCACCACAGAAGCTGCCAACCAGGGAGAACCTGTGCCAACTGTGGAGTGGAGAGGTTGGGCCTGGACCCTCAACCTCTGCAGCCTCCCTCCCCCAACCCTGAACAGATGGGCAGCTCCGGCTGTGGCCCTTACCTCACCCCCAGTTCTCTCCCAGTGCTGCAGCCTGCTTACCTCTCTCCTGCTTCCTGCACATCACTGGCATGTGTGCTGCTTGCTCTGGTTCTGTTCGCTTGCTCCCCTTCTGTTCAGCTTTTGCTTTGCATTGGCGTGGAGGCCCTAGCGCTCAGCTCCTCTCACGCTATGTTTTGACACTAAAAAGGAAGGTTTCTATATAGCAGGAGCAGGCTGGAAATTTTTTGCTGCCCTCTCCAACTTTTAGGATGGGCCCCTGGGAGACTGAGGTCTTCCTGGCCCCCATTGCTGCTTATTGTACTTCCCACCACCTGCACAAGGGACAGGGCTGGAGTGTGCTCTCGGCTGTCAACTTACCAGCAAGAGAGCTCTGGCCTGCCTCCCACTGTCCCTAGAGGGGGATGGAGGGGCAACCAGACAGATTTGCCCTACGCTTTGGGCTGCCGCGTTGCATGCTGGGACCCAGCTCCTACCCTCCCACCCACCCCTCACCCAGCTCTGGTCCGCTGCCGGTGAATGGTGAATTGCGCTGCCGGAACTCACAGCGGAACAGAGTGGGGACCGTGTACAGCTTGATAACCCTAATAAAGAAGGGCCTTTGACCGGTTCGCGGCCTTATTGTCTCGCGCGGCGAGGGTTATGGGAGCCAGCGGAGTGGGGTGCGTGTGATCCCTTCAGGTAGCAAGGTACCGGGCGGGGCTCTGTAGGAAAGTGGGTCTATGAGGTCGCTCAGATATACCGAGCTAGCTGGTTAGCAGAGAGGCCGTTTCTGATCCATGGTTCCTCGGAGTTCAAGGTGTCCGGCAGGACTGTCAGATTTCCCGCTCTGAGCCGGTGACCAAGCCAATTCCGCTGATCTAAGTTTGCCTTTTCTGCTTGCATAATTTCCCCCCGCCCCTCCGGCAACATTTGCCCAATAAGGGGACGCTGAGGGCGGGCCCAGGTGGGCGGGGCTGCTGCGGACAACTGCGGCTAGACTTGGGACATTCCTGCGGGCCGGGACTTGGCCGGAGGGTCCGGGACAGCGATCGAGGGGCGGACGGGCGGAGACGGCGTACGTGCCCTGCGTGAATGCGTGGCGGCGGCGCGTGCGCGAAGCGAGTGGGCGGTGTGGCCAGCTCCACGTGCGTCCTGACCGCGACCCTTGCAGCTTAGAGCCCCGCGGCTCCATGACCCGAGACACCCCGGCCTCCGCCCCCCGCCCCGAGCGGCTGGTCCGGTTCTCCCGTCCCTCAGTCCACTCAGTCTCGACCGACGGGCACGCATTGCCATGGTAACTGTGGGCAACTACTGCGAGGCCGAAGGGCCCGCGGGTCCGGTCTGGGCGAAGGGTGGCCTGAGTCCCTGCTTCTTCTTCACGCTCGTGCCCTCGATGCTGATTGCCTTGGGGGCTCTGGCCGTGGTGCTGGTCCTTCCCTGCAAGCGTCGGGAGCGGCCTGGTGGCATCGATGCGCTGTCTTGGGGGGCTGGTCCTCGCGTCGCTCCCTACGGGCTGCAGCTGCTTCTGGCCACACTTCAGGTGACGCTGCCCCTAGCCGGCCTGATTGGCCGGATGGGCACTGCCCGGGGTGCCCCGCTGCCAGGTTACCTACTGCTGGCTTCTGTACTGGGGACTCTGGCCAGCGCCTGTGGCTTGGGACTGCTTGTCGTGGAACGGAACCAGGCACGGCAGAAGCTAGCAATGGGCGCCTGGATCAAGTTCAGTCACAGCCCTTGTCTCCTGCTCCTCTGGACTGTGGCATTTGCAGCCGAGAACTTGGCCCTGGTGTCTTGGAACAGCCCACAGTGGTGGTGGGCAAGAGCCGACTTGGGCCAGCAGGTGAGGAACCTTATGGGAAGAGGAGAAGCATGGGTGGCAGGGGCTGGGAAGAAGGATGTCCTGTCTGGTCTTACTGGCTCCATGCTTGGGGGTGACTCTAAGAAAGGAAAGGAGGGAGGGGCAGGTGCTGCCCTGGAGCTGATAGCCAGCTGGTGGGGCGTGTCTGTGCTGAGTCATTGTGGATTTTTTTTCTGTTTTCAGTCCTTTAGATGTTGGGCCCCTGAGGAGGACCTGTGCGTGTGCCCTACACCAGTCCCCAGCCCTGTTATAAGTTGTAACAATGGGATTTGGCCCTGGTTGATACTCTCCCTACATGTTTCATTCTAGGTTCAGTTTAGCCTGTGGGTGCTGCGGTATGTGGTCTCTGGAGGGCTTTTTGTCCTGGGGCTCTGGGCCCCTGGACTTCGTCCCCAGTCCTACACGTTGCGGGTCAATGAAGATGATCAAGATGTAGAGAGGAGCCAGGTACACCTCAATTTCTGAACCTTATGGTCTGTCTTAATTTTATTTGCTATTATCATTTTTTTTTCCCATTAAAATAAACTACAACTTTTTCAAATCCTAGATTGTACCATTAGCCTTTGTGAACCCATCAGGGGTCACTTGTGAGTCTAAGATACCTGGAAGCTGTAATCCCATACATTTTCCCTAGAAGGTTTCTGGCTAGTGCACTGCTTTTTGATTTCTGAGCTCCCCTCCCCTATGTGTTTCACCATCCTAGGTTCAGTCAACAGAGGGGCCACCGCAGTCTACCTGGCGAGACCTTGGCAGGAAGCTTCGCCTCCTGAGTGGCTACCTATGGCCTCGGGGGAGTCCAGCTCTGCAGCTTGTTGTGCTCATCTGCCTAGGGCTCATGGGGCTGGACCGGGGACTGAATGTGTTGGTCCCCATCTTCTATAGGGACATAGGTGAGGGGGAGGAGTGCCAGCTCAGTGCTCTGGTCCTTCATTGGCCTGGTGGGTGGGGGGCCCTAACCTAGACCAATGGGACAGAGTTTGAGCTGGGTGGTAAAAAAGAGGCTATGGCTGGTGCCTGGGGCAGTCTCTCCTGAAGAGAGCCCTACAGGCCATAAGTAGGCTTTGACTTGTTTTCTCCATAGTAAACTTACTGACTGAGAAGGCACCTTGGCATTCCCTGGCCTGGACTGTTACTACCTATGTCTTTCTCAAGTTCCTCCAGGGAGGTGGCACTGGCAGTACAGGTATGAGGGACTCTGCTTTCACCCTGGTGGGTACTGCCCCGCCCCCTCCTCCTGAGAGTCTCCTCTCCCAGGCCCTTCGGTGCTTCCAGACCTTTCACATCTTGATGTTGGGCTGATGACATTGGACCCTTCAGCCCTACTGAAACTGCTTCTGGCTCCCCGCAGGCTTCGTGAGCAACCTGCGCACGTTTCTGTGGATCAGGGTGCAGCAGTTCACGTCTCGGCGGGTGGAGCTGCGCCTCTTCTCCCACCTGCATGAGCTCTCACTGCGCTGGCACCTGGGGCGCCGCACGGGGGAGGTGCTGCGGATCGTGGACCGGGGCACGTCCAGTGTCACCGGGCTGCTCAGGTGCCAAGCCTGTGGGAGGGTGAGGCTGGAGGAACAGGGATGGAGAGGCTGTCAGGAGAACAGACCCAGCTTGAGGAGCTGCCCCTCCACTCTTTGTCTTTCCTAATTATAAGATTAATCTACATATGCTCTCATAATACGTAAAGTAAACCGAGCAAATCTCTTTTGAATTCTTCTCACTTCTCCAGTGGTTCCACTCCATTTAGTATGTTGAGTTCTGCTTCTTTGCATTTTTACATATATGTGTGCAGACTCGCAGAACTAATGTGGTATTGTGCAGGTTTTTCCTAAAATTAATGGTATCATGACATAGGCGTCATTCTCAGAGCTGCTTATTAACAAAACATCGTGGAGATGTATTCTCATCAGAGCATGAAGGTCTCCTTCATTCATTGTAACTGACAGAGCATTCTGCAGTTCGGCATGCTGTGTTTCATATAGCCATATACCTCCTGAGGGGTGTTTAGCTTGATTCCAGTCTGTTGCTGTTGAAAACAAAACACTGCACTGAAACTCAGAGGTAGAGTTGCTGGCTGGGAGCCCCTAATCCTTTCTTTGTCGCTTGACTTGCCCTTCCAGCTACCTGGTGTTCAACGTCATCCCCACGCTTGCTGACCTCGTCATTGGCATCATATATTTCAGCATGTTCTTCAACGCCTGGTTCGGCCTCATTGTGTTCCTGTGCATGAGTCTTTACCTCAGTAAGTGCTGCTTGGTGAAAGCAGCTCCCTGAACTCTCCCGGGACTCCCTTGGGCATGAGCCCTGCCCCCACCTTGAGTGACCCAGTTTGGGAGGCTATAGATTAGTGGACTTGAATGGGCTCCCGCTGCTCCCCAAATGTGGTGGATGGGCATGCTCCTCTGCCAAGGGAGCCTTAGCTCCATCTGGGTGGGGAGCCAGGAAGGGCATCCTGGTCGCATTAGGTGCCCACTGTGGATGTGGGTCAAGGATGCAGCCTGCCTTCGTTTGTTCACCGAAAGCATTTTCACACATGAGGCTTTGTATAGGCTACAAAGATACCTTGGACACAGCCCCTTCCCTCAGGGAGCTTAGGGCGCTCTCCCTTCAGAATCTGGGTCTCTGGGCTGGAGCGTAGGGTTAGTGTGTATGTGATGGGCGGCAGATGTACACATGTGGTCTCTGCTGTTGGGAGTGATGTCTTGAGCCCTGCTCCTCCCTTACCCTCCTCCTGTCACTCTCTAGCCCTGACCATCGTGGTCACCGAGTGGAGAACCAAGTTCCGACGCGCTATGAATACACAGGAGAATGCTACTCGGGCACGAGCCGTGGACTCTTTGCTAAACTTTGAGACGGTAACAGAAGCCTTAGTGGCAGTGGCGTGAGGCACAGAGATGTGGAGGAGTGTACCTGGGACCACTGGGGCTGCCAAGGAGCTGGGGGCAGGGGCGAGGCGTGCTGTTTAATATTAGGAAGGAGGGACTATGGATCTAGAGGCAACGATCTGGGTGCCAAATGCTGTGGCCCTGTTGAACAATGGTGCTTTGAATTCATCAGGTGAAGTATTATAATGCAGAGGGTTATGAAGTGGAACGCTATCAGGAAGCCATCATCAAATATCAGGTGAGGATGCTCAGTTGAGGCCTGCTGAGAGCAGTGGCCTGCCCTTGTGGAATTGCCAGGGCTGAGAGGAGTGAAATTTGGGCTGTGAGGTTGAAGGTGCCTAGGCCTAGGTTTGGACTTGGTGATGGTCAGTGCATATGTGACAGTCATCCCTCCTACATTATTGCCATAGGGTTTGGAGTGGAAGTCAAGTGCTTCACTGGTTTTACTAAATCAGATCCAGAATATGGTGATTGGACTCGGGCTCCTTGCTGGCTCCCTGCTTTGTGCATACTTTGTCAGCGAGCAGACGCTCAAGGTAAGGGAATTGTTCTGGGGATAGGGAAGAGGGGCCTGGGGCTCACGGGCCACGAGGCTCCTGGGTGGGAAGCAGACAGATGACAGGAAGTGGGCAGGGTGACAGCCCGCAGGCCTCCTGTGACTCGGTCCTCTTCTCTGGATCGCCACAGGTTGGGGACTTTGTGCTCTTTGGCACCTACATCATCCAGCTGTACATGCCCCTCAACTGGTTTGGCACCTACTATAGGTAACCTGATCCCTCCTCACCTGTCCAGGTGCATTATTATTTCCGCAGCTCCTCAGAGGAGCCCCAACCAGTACTCTTGTTGCAGGATGATCCAAACCAACTTTATCGACATGGAGAACATGTTTGACCTGCTGAAAGAAGAGAAAGAAGTGAGTGCAGAGGGAGGAATGGGGCTTTGGGGAGCGGGGACCTGCATGGTGTTTCTAGTGTCTGAAGAATACCAGGCCTATAACGGCGGCACGCATTGGTGGCACTCTCCCAGGTGAAGGACCTTCCTGGAGCAGGGCCCCTTCAATTTCAGAGGGGCCGGATTGAGTTTGAGAACGTGCACTTCAGCTACACCCAAGGGTGAGCCCCTCCTCTTTTGCCATCCCACAGCCCCCTTTCCCACTGTCCACTTACACACTGCCTTCCTACCCCTCCTCCCTGCTTCTGAGCCACCACTATCTGGGAAGAGAGCCCAAGCAGGGGAGGGGCAGCACGTAGTAGTAGCTCTGGTGATGGGAGGGGGCACTGGGGGTACAGCAGGCCTGCTGACCGTGCCTACTCTTCCTTGTAGGCGGGAGACCCTGCAGGATGTGTCCTTCACTGTGATGCCTGGACAGACCCTGGCCCTGGTGAGAGGAGACCCAGCCACTTGGCCCAGCCTCCTCGAGCTCCCCTCATTCCAATGCTCATGGTAGCTTGTGACCCAGGCTGTGGACTCAGAGAACCCTGTCATGATGAGTCACAGCAGTGAATGTGGCAGCCTCCATGGACCTTGGTGGTCTCTTGAGAACACCTTAAAAGCCAATGGGCCTGAGAATATTTTCCCTCTGTTTCCAATGCATCAGGTGGGCCCATCTGGAGCAGGGAAGAGCACAGTTTTGCGCCTGCTGTTTCGCTTCTATGACATCAGCTCTGGCTGCATCCGAATAGATGGGCAGGACATTTCACAGGTAAGGTTGTTTGTGAGAAGACTGTAATTTAGGGGCCTGTGTGTAAAAGAATGGCAAGGGCTAGGCATCCAGGGAGAGGAGGAGATGTCACCTCTGCAGAAAGTTGGGGCAAAAGACCTTAACCTTCTTAGCACCATTTAACATAAGTAAGAATCATAAGAATGATTTGTATGGTGCTGTACCAGGTACAAAGATCTGTAGCAATCTAGGGAAGCAGGGAGAGAAAGCGTATTTCCTTTTTCTCGATGGGGAATCAGACTCACAGCGGTTGGGTGATTTGCCCACACAGCTAGCTAGGATTTGGGGGGGGGGGTGGTGGCAGGATTGTTACCCAGGCCTCTCATCCCATATGCTTCCCACCAGCACATCTTATTGCCCAGGCCTGGGGGCATCTCACAGGCCGGGGGATATGGTCTTTTGGCCCCAGGTGACCCAGATCTCCCTCCGGTCTCACATTGGAGTTGTGCCCCAGGACACTGTTCTCTTCAATGACACCATTGCCAACAATATCCGCTATGGCCGCGTCACAGCTGGCGATGAAGAGGTGGAGGCTGCCGCTAAGGCTGCAGGCATCCATGATGCCATTATGGCTTTCCCCGAAGGTGAGCTTCCCCTGCCGTTTAGCCTTGTTACCCCCCGTCCTCTGTTCCATCCCTTCCTTGCCCCATCTGGTCACAGAAACCAAGTTTATCATGTGTGACTTGAGGAAGGTGGGCAATATCCACAGGGTACGAGACGCAGGTGGGCGAGCGGGGACTGAAGCTGAGCGGTGGGGAGAAGCAGCGTGTTGCCATCGCCCGCGCCATTCTCAAGGCCCCCAACATCATTCTGCTGGATGAGGTGAGGGCCCTGGGCAGCCTTCACCCCTCCTTCCTGCCCTGCCTGTGCCCACACCATTCCTACTGAGCACTGTTTTCCATCCAGGAGAGAAATCATGAATCCATGTTTCACGAAACACGTTATAGTTCTCAAGCGCAAACAAGGTTCTTTTTGTTTCCCAAGGCCTCAGCCAGCAGCTTCCTCCTCCTTCCACTGGGGATTTGGGTGGCAGGGGCAGTTTTACCCAGACCCTCTCTGTAGGCTACATCAGCGCTGGATACATCCAATGAGAGGGCCATCCAGGCTTCTCTGGCCAAAGTTTGTGCCAACCGCACCACCATTGTAGTGGCACACAGGTACGGGACCGGGGCAGCGGGCAGCGGGGCCCACTTTTGGTGGCGCAGTGAGCGACTGATCTCTGACTTCTCAGGCTCTCAACTGTGGTCAATGCTGACCAGATCCTCGTCATCAGAGATGGCTGCATTGTGGAGAGAGGACGGTAAGGGACACAGCAGGATGAACAGGGCAGAGCTTCTGAATTGGGGGCCCAGGAAACAGCTGTGAAGTCCCAGTGGTTTCTGGAGGAGCTGTCCCTTGCCAATTCCGTCATCTCTGTGGGCTGGTGGCGAGGACTCTTGGGGTAAAACTGATAGTTGGGACTTACACTTTCCTCCTTGCCCCAGGCACGAGGCTCTGTTGTCCCGAGGTGGGGTGTATGCTGACATGTGGCAGCTGCAGCAGCGGGGACAGGAAGAAGTCTCTGAAGACACCAAATCCCAGACTAAAGCATGATGACAAAAGTTGTGGCTGTCTACCTCCCAAAGGGTAACTCAGAGGAGTTTAAGATGTATCCTTCTTCCCTGGCATATTTCATCCTTGTTGTGGGGTACGGTGCTAACGGGGAAGGGGACCTTTCAGGAAAGCCCTTTTTAGGGAAATAAAAGTGTGGACTATGCTAGGATCACTGTAACTTTGTGGAGTGGCATATTGCAGTGGGCCTCTACCCTTAGGTCAGGTGAGCATTATTGACAGGACTCCTCTGGTTTTGATTGGAGAAGGAAGAAACACACCACTTGGATGTCTTATTGACTTCCAATATCCTTTATTCTTTCCAGGCCCCTCTCTGCCCCCTACACATGGGGGCAGCCCCAGTGTAAGGGGGATGACATAATGCAAAGGGCTCAGCGGGGACTGGCCAGCATCCTCTGAGGGCCTAACCAGGAAGCAGTTCAAAGCTGCTATCTCCCATGCAGCTGGAGAGGCCAGCAGGATCTTCTGTAGGCTGTTGCACAAGTGGTTTCTCCTGATGCTCCCTGGAGGCAGCCTCTGGGTCACTCCTCATTTCACTCTAGGCTGCTCCTGGCCGCCTCTCCCTGTGGACCCTAAAGGTGAGGGCCATAGCCCTCCTCAGCTGGGCCTCCCTCCCCAAGCCCAAGGCCCTAGCACAGGTTGCAGTTGGATGGCTTCGCGCTGCGGCTTTGGGTCTGGAGCAAAGAGGGGAAGGAGGAGAAGACAGGGTGCGATGTCAAGGAAGTGAGAGGACAGTCCTCACTTCCAAGCTCAGCATGGGCTAGAGTCATACTGAAAACAAAAGGATCCACCATTCCAAAATTCTCAACCACTTGGAAGGAACCCCCCTCCCCAAATTCCTTACTCCCTCCCAACGCAGGACCCCATCTCTACCCCATCCTCGTACCTGCTGCCGTTGGTACTCTGCCTCACTGGCTGACAGCGCTTGTGCTAAAGCTAAGTCTTCTTCCTCCTGAGAACTGGGAGGGAGGAACAGCTTAAGTTTGATGACAATATCTCATATGTGAGCATCTGATTTGTTAGGCATCACCGTGCTGAGTACTTCTGCGTATTACCTCAATTACTTGTACAACCTTACAAGGTAGGTATTAGTATTGTTCCATTTTATAGAGAAAATTAAGAACCTAATAGGTTAAAGAACTTGTCAAAGGTCATATAGTTAACAGGCTTAATTTTGAGCCCAAGTTCTTAACTATTATCTTGCATTGGGTGGGCGTGGTCCCATCTACCTTCTTCCAGAGCCCTTGCCCACATCCTACCCTCTTTCACCAAAGAGTAGGTACCTTGGGACCTGGGGTTTGGTCTCTGCCAAGGAAAGTTCCAGGGCTCGCTGCAGAGCCTCATCCTCACTCTGCAAGAGAAGAAACAAAACCAGTTGCCTTGGATTTTACTCTCTGCATATGTTTGCTTCTGTCCCTCCAACCTCTGCCCAACTCACCAAGCCATTCTGCAAAGCAATAACTGGAGGGGCTGTCCACGGTGGAGACTGGGCTGTGGCTCTAAGGCAGACAGACATTCAAGAGGCGGAGATCAGAGATGCAAAGGGAAAAAAGGGAGAGGAGAAACGGGTAGGCCTACCTGCTGAAAGAGGTAGAGGAAGGCAAGGTCCGACTTGGGCTGGGGATGGTGCTTGTAGAAGAAGCCAGACCTTGTGCTCTGGAAATGGCCGCAAGTCTGTAGGGAAGAGACACTTTTGGCATGCCTCCAAGAGCAGTCAGCTTACATGCTCCTGCCAAGCTTTACCGGGAGTCAGCATGGGGGTTCCTCCAAACAGTCTGGGAAAATATGCACTTGAAAAGGAAGCTAAGACTCCCCTAGCCAAAGGGGACAGGGTTCAAGCTTCCCAGCTTGTGATAAAGACGGAGTCAGTTCCAGAGGATGGATGGTCCCAAAGGCAAGTTAGAGTACTTAGTTGAAATTACCCTGCCTGGCTGGTTGGATGCCCCTCCCCAGAGCAATCATGGTCCAGTGGGTGACGGTGCTTGATGCAGAAGTTTCGGCCACAGCGTTCACAGTTCAGTTTCATCATTTCCCGCTGCCGGCAGCCAGAGCGTTCACACTTATTAGTGTAGATCTGAGGTGGAGTGGGAAGGTTTGTCTCTGCTGAGACTCTGACCCCCTTTTCCAACCTGATCATAACAGCTGTTCAGGTTTCCAGGCATCCATAGTCCCACCTGAGTCATAGCTAACCCCTCCAATAGTTACCTTACGTTTTTGCTGTGCTGGATCCGAACGACAGTCTCGGTCAATGTGCTCCCCCACAGCTCGGTCAGGGGGTTCCCCTCTGGCCACAGGCATAGGCACATTACAGAGTGGGCATACAGGTACTTGGATATCCTATAGTTAAGGAGCAGGGCTTAGTCTGTGGGCCACTCCCAGTTCTACCAAATCTGTGGTCCTGAAAAGAACCTGGACAGGCCCTCTACAAACACAATGAAGCACTGAGTCTTAGAAAGACAGTAAAGGCGTGAAAACGGGAGGCAGAAGGATTCCCAGGATTCTGCATGCATCCTCCACTCACCCCTATCACCCTCAGACCTCCCCCTCACCTTTTGGTAAGCAGATCCACAGTGATGCTGAGCGTAGGCCACATGGTCTGCACAGAAGATGCCGGAGCAGGCGTCACACTTGAGCGGCAGAAAATCTGCAGGGAGTGGGTCGGATTGCAGGTCCAGCGGGACCGCGACGTCGTTCCGGGTCACTCAAGCCTTCCACTCAGGGGAAGGAAAACACCACCCTATTTACAATAAACCACCCCGGCCCTAGTGCACTATCCTTAGCCACGCCTCCTTTGACACCGCCCCAACTTCGAGCCCCGCCCCTATCTGGCATTTCCAGTCCCCGGAGCCCACCCTTCGCGGTACCTGCAGCTCCAAGACCCTCTCCACCCGGCCCCACCCCACCCCACCCCCGCTCCGCCCCTCACCCAAGCGCTGACAGCTTGGCTCGGAACAGTGAGCCCCGAGGTCCGGGAACTCCATCGCCGGGCAGGGCCTGCAGGAAGAAGCAGCGATGCTGAGCATATCTAGGGCTCCGGCTCCAGGTCCGGACCGCAACCCCACACCCTGTGGGGGCTCCCTGCCCCGCCCCTTCCCCACCCCCACCCAGCCCGGCTTACCGGAGCCTCTGCGCCTCCCAGCCCGCGGCTCCCACTCCTCCCCCGCCGCGCACAGGCGTGCTTACGTCATCCCGCAGGGAGGGCACGTTCCGCGCAGTCGCCGAGTGGCCAGGGCAGTGTCCCTGCGGAGGCGAGCCCCGCCCGTTCCTGTTGGGCTAGACTGGGAACTGGATGGTTGTGCCTAAGCGAGTGGGTGGCCGTGCGCGGTTCCGCGATCCCGCGTGCGGGCTTAGCTCCAGGTAGGGCGAAAGGGCCTGCGAAGGCGAGGGCAGATATCTTGGGGAAGGAGGGCTGGTGTGGTTTGGGATCTTTCACAGGTGGGTCCTTTGCTCGCTTCTCACTCCACTTCTAGCTATTTCGTTCATGGCCACGGTTGCATTTACAAGCTGACGACTCCCATACTTCTGTGAAGTACAGATTTCTCTCCAGAGCTGCAGATCCCTCCACCAGGCTCAGCTTTGATGCCCTTTTCTGTAAGACTTCCCTGACCATCCCCAGTCTGAGCTAAACGTACGGGCTGTGTGAAATCCCTGGTTCTGTTCTGCGCATATCATCTTACTGTAATCAGCTGTTCACACACACACAAATATACCGGGAAGTCAGGAACCAAGTCTACCTTGTTCTGTTAGGTCCCTAGCACCTAGCGCACTGCCCAGAACTGTGTGACTTTAGCGTGAGTCCGAATCACCTACAGAGCTGGTTTTAAATGCAGATTCCTGGGCCCTGGAGCCTCTGATTCAAGTAGGAAGCAACCAAGAGAATTCTGACACAGATTATCCATTATCCACTTTGAAAAACACAAGCCTAGAATATTCTGAGTGTTTATTTATTAAATATTTCTGGAATAAGCATGAGAGTCACTGGATTGCTGTCCTGCTTTACCTCAGGGATCCCGAGGTTGAGACCTTTCAGCTTCAGCACATTATGCTTCTCACGGGCCTCCCTGGCCTCTCATGCCTGGGGTTGGTCACACTCTATGTTCCCATAAGTTTGGCTATCAGGACAAGTAAACAGATGGGATAAGCTTAGAGTTGAACAGTGTCCTCCAAAATGGAGGGATAACCCAGGCCACAGTTGGAAATAATGAGACAATCTCCTCTCACTTTTCCCTTCCCTCTCCGCCTCCAACTTTTCGCTCTGTTTTCCTGTGTTTGCTTCTTACATCCTCACAACTTTAAGGCCGGTGGAAATTAAAACCATTTTTTCCTGGTTCTTCAAGCAGGAGGCCTAATTTCAGCTCTATGCCCGATTGCCTTGACTTGGATCACCTGCCAAGCCCTGACCAGTGGCCCTGTGGTCAGGGTATGTGATGATCTGATGGGCTAAGTGTAAGTCTCATGTTTAGGGAGAGTCAGCTCCACCTAAAGTGAAAATCACCCAGCTGGCTTAGACAATTGTTCCAGAAAACTCAAGAGAATTCTTTCGATTCCTTTCTTTCTTCATTCAACAATATATTGAGTGTCCTCCCATGTGCCTGTCATTGGGATGATATATGCAAATACAAAATATACAGGACAATATGATGACACATTTCAGGTACCCTCTTCTGGGTTGACAAGTGTTATTCAAGCCAAAACCTGAAGGGTGAGTAGATGTTGGCTAGATGAAGGCCAAAGGAGAAAGGAATGGGGTGGAAGGAGATGCTATTCCAAGCAGAGGAAAAGCAGAGAAAAAGACTTGGCGATAAGATGGAACAAGGGCTTTTAAATGAGCTTTTAAAAAGCTTGGGGCATCTGGATCTTAGGGTATAGGAGGCAGGCTAGAAGGGAAGTGAAGCTGGAGAGCTAGCAGAGGCCAAATCACCTTAGGTGGTGGAGGCCACATTAGTATTGAGAATTTTAACATAAATATAATTAGAAACTATCAATAGCTTTAAGGAGGGGAGTGACATGATCAGATTGGTATTTTGGGGAAGTAACTCTGGCTTCAGAGTGGAGAACAGATTGGAGCAAGTTGAGATTGGAAGAAAGGAGACCAGGTAAGAGGATGTTATTGTAACCCAGGCAAAAATTGATAATGTCCTGAACCAGAGTGGA